AGATCAGCATCGTAATCGCCGACACCGGTGTCAAAGTAGTTGAAAGTGATCTTAGGCATATCGAGAGGGTCAGCGGACTGGAGAGCGACGGTACCGGCAGTGTTGCGGGGGTGAGCCTTGAGAATAGCCCAGGTGAACCAGTTGTGTTCATCAGTCGCGTTGATGCTGTAGTCGGGGAAGTAACCACGGAAGTTGACGGGACCACCGAATTCGAAAATGTCGAAGTCATCCCCGGCCGTGGAGCTTTTGTATAGCATAGTGGCGGCGAGACCGGGGGATGAGTAGATGCCACGGTCCCCAAGGATGGGAGACTCCCAGTCATCGATACAGGGGTCGTCCTGGTCGCGAATACTGAATGTGCACTTGTCCAAGCAGGAGAAATCCTTCTCAACCTTGCCCTGGACGGAGATCTCATAGTGGTCCTGGAGATTGGTACCAACACCGGGGAGATCCTTGATAACCTTGATACCGAACTTCTTGAGTTCCTCGGCGGGTCCGACACCACTCAGCTTGAGAATCTGGGGAGAGTTGTATACTCCGCCGGAAACGATGACTTCACGAGAAGCAGCGGCGGAACCAGGGGTACCGGGAAGGGCGGATTTCGACATAGGGCTGGCCTTGTAGAGGTGCTCGCCCTCGAGGAACTCCACACCGGTGGCGCGGGGTGGGGTTTCGGTCTCGTCGAAGGTCACCTTAGTGACATGGGTGTTCATGCGGACATCAAGAGGGTACTTCTTGGAGCCATTGTCATTCTTAGCATCGCGAACAGCGATAATGAACTCGCGGGGACCATTGCGGTGGGCGTCGTCGGTGGCAATAGGGATCTGGTAGTAGCCGGGCTCGGTGTCACGGGTCTTGTCATCAGCATTGGCATCGCCAAGTAGCAGGGTGCCAATGTTCATAAGGTGATCGGTGAAGTTACCGAGCGCAAAGGCGCCACCGGTGAGCATGCTTAGCAGCTGGGTATCCTTTAAGACAATGCTAAGTGGCGCGGTTTCGGTCGACAGCCAGCCGTCGTAACCGTGGCCCTTAGCTGCGGGAAGCGAGTAACCGTTGTTCTCCAGCTTAGCGTAGTACTTGCGCATGTTTTCGGGCGTCCAAGAGTTATCGCCGGTGATAGTCTCAATGTATTCAAAATCAGACTGATGAGGGTAGACTGCAATCAAGGCGTTGTGGGCAGTGCAACCACCGAGGGTACCGGTACGAGGGTACAGGGTTCCCTTCAAGGTCGAGCCGTCGGGAGGATTCAAGCCGGTGTATACCCCGCCATCAGGCGTGTCGTAGCTAGCCTTCCAATCGCGAGCCTGGCGCTTGTCATCTTCGTAGTGGCGAACGAAGAAGTTCCACGCAAGCTTCTCATCTTCGGAGGCTCTTGCGGAGTAGGCAGGGATGGTGTAGTTGTAGTTTTCACCCTGATCATCACCAGCCTCAAGGAGCAGTGTCTTGTGGCCGGCCAAAGCAAGGCGGGCAGCCAGAGGACCACCACCAGCACCAGAACCGACAACGACATATTCATAACCAGTGATGTTAACGGCCTTGGCCAGGCCGGACGTAGCCACCAGCAGGCCGAAGATATAAGAAAGAATCATTTTGACAAAGAATGACTATAGGTGAGTTGACCTTCCAAAAGAGAGATTATCCCGGCTTTTATGCATTGATTTCCCCCTGAACAACGGGATTGTCCGCATTGTTCTCCATTTTTCAAAAGTCGTTGAAGACTTGGCCGGTGTTCTGCGGTTAGCTCCTGGCGATCTATGCGCAAACAGCTTAGCCTAGTACTTTTCCAGGGACAATTCCCGAACGATCAACGATAGTTTAATTCGTACGGAGTACTGCGTACTCCGTACACCGCTGCTGATCCTCAAAACGGATCCACATGTTTCGGGGGTTTCTCCTTTCCAGCACACAGCATGACCGCCGGTTCGCTTCGCCGAGACATTGCGGATAATTCTTTCGAAACGAGGTTCATTGTGATCCCTGTCATCCGGGGCCTCAATATATGTTAGTGCCAGGTCTTAATAACAAAGAGTGCAGTCAATTTAAGATTTAAGATCCTAGACATGAGAAAAGGAAGCGAAGGAAGAGATAAGTGGAGTCGTAACCCAGAAGGGTAAAGGTAGCCCCATATCTGCAAACTATGCAAACATCCCATAAGCGAGCAAAACAACATCTGGCATGTGACAGAGCGGCCCCTACCGAGCCCCAACTCCACCTGAACCAGCAAATGGCAGCCACACGTTATTCAGGCCATACAGGTCAGACTTCATATTCACTCGGATCACCCTAGAAGAAGGCCGGCTTGGATTAACTAGGAAGGGGCGGGTATCTGACTTTGGTCAGCAACAGGACTGCGTGGAAGGAGAGCTCACCCACGTGTTTCGTGGGCGGCCTTGGCGGCTTCTTGCTAGATCCAATATTCGTTTTCGCTCCGAAAACGGCTGGAGGGTCAAGCTTGTGAAATAAGATCGAATGTCAACTGCGCGATGTGCGGAGCTCATGCAGCAATATTTAAGATAAGTACGGTACTGTGACGACGACGTATCACGGGACTTACCTTCCTCAGCCAGCGACGCTTCTGCTTCCGCCGCCTACAGCTGCCGGTCACCACATCCAGGGCCGGGGTTCTACCGGACAGCATTCATTCTTTTTTTCAAAAAAAAAAAAAGAAAGAAAGAAAGAAAGAGAAAAAGAAAGGCCCAGGCCAGCAAAGTCTTAGTTCTTAGTCTTGATTTGGTTGCGGGGGGAGAAAGGAAGAGGAATTTATGAGGAGAGTGGTAATGCCTTCGAACTACGCGAGCTCTTGTCTTAACGCAATCACCTGCCTATAAGGTACGGTCAATGATGTGCTAACCCACAGAACTGTTAAAATAGACTCTCCTTTTGGAGTGCTCATAACGAATCTGAGCATTCAATGAAATCTTTCTGAGGCTGGCAAATTAAAGCTAGAAGAGCGGCCCACATCTGGGATCGGGTGCTTGCGATGTAGAAGCGGGGCTCTTCCAAGGTTGCCATAGACTTCAAGCGATGTGTATTTTGTGCCTAGATACATTGCCCACATGTGACCTCATGTACGAGTCTTGGGGGATCTGCAGGTACCCGTGGACACGGTCGAATCCCGCTATTTATATGTCATTGTAGTGTTGTATCACTCAAACTCTGTGCTGTGCGGTCGGGATGCCAAAGCTTGTTAATGTGGTCGTCCAGGACTCGGAAATCATCGCATGCATGAAATAAAGTTTATAGTGAACTACAGATCATAGCCTGGACGTCCATTATAGGGAAAGTAAATAAAGTCTAACTAAAGATCTACTCCGATTGATTAGCCAAGTAGATAGAGACTGCAGGGCATGGCTACTGAAGCAGGGAGGATAGAACAGCATATTTCCAAGTGAAGCGAGGTTATAGAGGCGGCACTGTTCCTGCATCCAGAGAGTGATTATGATCGGTCTCAGTACCCAACGGAATGGCGCCCTTAAGGCGCTGGGCCTTGGAATATACCCAGATAGGAGAACCTGGGAAGCAAAATGTAGATTGCATCATAACTACGGTAGACCTCGGGAAGGAAGAGTGGACTGCTAGCTTCACGCCTACCGTGTCTACCGAGTCGACTTGACCTGAGTTATGAGTGAATTATTCCCAAAAGAGTAAAGTAGTAAAGTAAGAGAAATGAATCCGTCCTAATCTATTCTGGACGACGGCTCCCATGATAAATCCTAGAATCCATTGGTTGAGTTAACCTTTGGTTAATAACGTATCTACTGGTATACTTCGGGAAGGTGAAAGTCAAATGTTCCGTTTTCTTTTATGGGTAAATAGACTCGTGGCTGAATAGGGCATAGCAGCAATCCTGCCAAAAGCCGCAAAGGCAACATATAATGGACACCCATCCCTCCCTTTCTTTCTGTTATTTTCCCTCCTACAACCACCCTACTCACCCTAACTGAGATCTGCGAGACGCGTGTCTGCAGTTCCCGACCCCGACTTCCGACGGTTGGCTATTGAAGCAGTGACTGTGATACGATAACCTGGGTTAGCTCTTCCGGCGAGTAACTCGGCCGGTCTTCCATGAAGACTGGTGTCTCCTGGGATAGCAGGGAATCCGACAGCCGCGAGCTTGGACCTCTACGTGGTGCTGTTGAATAGTAGCCTTTTTGGCGAAGCCAACGCAAGCTCATATTCTTCTCACCTTGCCTTCCTCCTTACAGTATCCCGCCACTTGTAGACTGACTACCTCTCGACGTAGATATGGGAGACTACACACATTCATACACCATGAACCCATAATCTAGTCAGGTAGTTGACATAAAGGTTGGCTCAGAACTGAAACGAAAATACTTGTAAATGCCAGTATGTCTTTAATAGCACCTCGTCCACCTCTTTGATTCTCGACGGACGCCTAGTACGATCATTTGCAAACGGTCCCACGACATAAAACGCGTGCACTTGTGCTGTCGAGGTGTCGCTTCGTTGTCAAATAACTGCGATCATGAACAAACTACTAACTGCCCGCCACCTCAAGCGGCTTAGCCTGAAAAGTTAGCAATTACCCGTGGACCGATCCTTCGTTCGTATTCTCACGCAACACGAGGTAGAAGGCATGAGCAGGCGGAGAATCACATTCCGTCGCCCGTTAGCCTCCTCGGTGCATCAAATAAAATGGCGGCACCATTGGAACCTTTTTGCTTTATTGTGGGGATGGAATTATATTAGTTCTTGGCACTTGGACGCGTTTTCCTGCGATTCCTTTTATAAAATTGGGAAAATAGTATGCATTAATGCCGAACCTGGATGGATCGGATTCACTATGTACTACGTATATACCTGCTGGGCACAAGAAGGGGTATGACAAAACTGTAAGGGAGAATATTTTGAGGGCCAATACATATGTAGTGTTCATGCCAAGATGAAGAAAAAATCGTCTTTCTTTTACCCCGCAATATCGGTATAATAGAGGCCGACGGGTGGATGATGCTATAAATTAACCCAATTTGAAAATTGATATGGTTTCTGCTACCTCGAAGGAAATCAATTGGACCACCAAGATGCGGCTGTTACCAGCTTGTCTAGCTACCCTTTTGGCCGTCTCAGCGAGGAGCAAATACATTGTCCCCGGAGGTAGATGGCGTGACACAGATGGGAACTTCATTAATGCACACGGTGCCGGGATCACCTTCGACCAGAAGTCCGGTCGCTTCTGGTGGTTTGGCGAACACAAGACAGAAGAGGAGCCGGAAGGCGGAGGTGTCTCTGTTTATAGTTCGGAGGACCTGAGTACTTGGGAATCGGGGGGTCTTGCATTAGGTAACTACCTACGGCCGTGCTGGAGATAGGTCGATATTCTAACATGTACAGCTCCGATCAATGGACACCCATATATCGCCCCCGGTAGCGTGATCCAACGACCTAAAGTGGCCTACAGCGCGGAGACTGAGGATTATCATGTATTCATTGGAATTCCCTCGGCTTTCGCATTCCAAAGCTAATTTGACAGATGTGGTGGCATGCGGATAACTCCACCTACGGGCTGCTTCTCCAAGGTCACGCTGTGTCCTCCACGATCGGCGGGCCGTACACTTTCGTCGACGCAACAGCGCCCCTTGGAAACTGGTCTCAGGATTTCGGCTTGTTCACCGACTACAAGGACGGCCGATCCTATGCCCTCTACTCGAACGGAGACAGTCAGGATGGACGAGATGTGTACCTGACAACCATGAACAATAACCTCACGGCGCTCGAAAAGGTTGTGTATCGATTCCCAAAATTCGATCTGGAGGCGCCTACTATCATGCAGACAGAGAAGAGCTACTGGGCGCTTATGAGCCATAAAACAGGATATAGGCCAAACAGTAAGAGGCCTAGTTTACCATTGTGTATGGGTTGCTTGGCTAACTTTTCAGACGTTGTGGCATTCCGGGCCGACTCACTAAGCGGTCCCTGGTCACAGCCGTTTATCGTTGCCCCGTTAAATACACGAACTTTTAACTCACAGTCTGGATACACGCTCAGAATCGAGGGAACGAAAAAGACAACGCACCTGTACATTGGAGACCAATGGGACTCCAATTCTGTCTGGGACAGTCGCTATATCTGGTTGCCTATTCAGACTGATGAGTCTAAGAAGACTCTAGAGTTAGAGTGGCATGATGTTTACGATCTTGATGTGTACGCATGCTGTCTTCTGTTTTTACAATGGCCCTCGTATTAACTGATTCTAGGAAAACCGGGGACTGGAAACCTATCAAGGGAACAACATACACCGCGAAACAAGCGAAGACGCACGGTGATACATATAAGCAGGAGGCTGTGAGTATAGTTTCATTATCCAGCCACCGGAGTATATTTGGCTAATGTGAAATGTTGAAAGAACTTTGCTACCGACGGCGTTATTCTAACTGGAATATACGGAAACGACAGCACCGTTACGTTCGAGAATATTGAGGGATCTGGAAAACCGCAGTGGGTGTCATTCTACTATCAAAGTACGTTTGCAGTTTCTAATTTCTACCTCCCTACACAACACTAACATTGTTATTAGACACTGACGATTTGGGTTTCGGCGACCAACGTAAGTGCACTTCCATTTGCTGCCTATAGCTAAGCCTAGGTACCGATATTCTAATACGCTCAATAGCTGGAGGGAACCCGGACAGAATTGGCGGTTCGTGGCAGCTACGTCGGATTAGCAGCGTGGCGGTCAACGGAGACCCTTCGAGCATACAAACTCTATACCAACGAGATACTCACAAAGGAGTCATACTGTCTACTCCACTGCAGCTGACACTGAAGAAGGGGAAGAAGAATACCATTACAGTCGGGGGACTATATAATGGGTTTGATTACAAGGGTGCGGATTTGGATCGGATAGTTGTGTATCCTACTGAGAGGTAATATCCACGGATTGGAAAAATCTACATGAGAAGGTCAGACAGGAAAGGCGTTTAGCAACCTTCTGATTTATAGTCACAGTGTTCTTTGCCAACATTCATTGCGTTGTTTGCCAAGCTGCAATATATATATGTATATAGGCCTCAGGTTGTTCTCTGACGATTCATCCATCCTTGTCCTCTCGGTTGCTCGCTTTCCTGGGCGCTAGTTTGTTATATACCAGCAAAGCAGGTCAATATGAGTATGGCTGTATTTAGTTCTCGCCCTATCTATTGCTCACCTTTCTCACCTGCGACACTAGAACCATCAATTGAGTCTTGTTTACTTTATCTTTCTCTCCCTCACTTAACTTGATACATACGACCATAGGGTGTGGAAAACAGGGCTTCCCGTCCGCTCAGCCGTACTTAAGCCACACGCCGGTGAGTTAGTAGTTGGGTGGGTGACCACCAGCGAATCCTCACTGTTGTATGTTTCTTTTCGTCTTTTCTTCTTTTTGGGAGTATACTTTGGATTGTTTATGGCTTTGTTTGATTGGTTCCTTTTGCTAACCAATTGCACCACTGTCGGAATTGTCTTAGCCGCACCGACGAACTTCAATTATGTCGTGACAGTATTCATCCTATTCTGCTTCTCCGATTTCACCAGAGTACCACTACCTAACCAGTATTTGGCCGCTGTCTTAGTGTTCGACCGCCACTAATAGTTCTCTACGTCGCTATTGCTTACAAGGAGAATAGAAGTCATGGATTTGTTCTAGATCTGTTCTAAAACAAATGCACTTCAACATCTCTAGCCACGAAGAAAGCGAAGGTATTTAACTCTTCAGTCATGCTGTAGGTGCTCGAAACCGCGTCCAAAGCCATTTGAAAGCAAAACCAAAGTGCACTTCAGTAGCGAAATTCTTCTCCGACAATTTTCTCACTCAGAGTCCACAACTTATCCGCATTGGAAGTGTCAGAGGCGTATTCCAGAACCTGCTGTGGATTGCAGTCATCGAGAAATGACCCTGATTGATCTGTGTGAACTTGTAAGCGCATTTTCTAACCATTTAGCAAATAATAATATTATAGTTACCATCAAGCGCAGGGTCCAGGGCCGCAACAAGTGTAGTTGCGCAGCCCTGCTCAATGTTCTTTTCCTTCGGTATCTTCATCATCTTACTTTCAACCATAGGTCCCACAATGGACCACGCTGCTGGGTCGACTCCAGACGACAGACCCGTTGCCTGTATGACACCTGGGTGCAATGAATAGGACTTTACTCCCATTTTCTCCAATTTCCTGGCCAATGCAACGGCAAATAAGATGTTTGCTGTCTTGGACTGTCCGTAAGCTGTCCAAGCGTTGTAAGCCTTGCCGTTGGAGAAGTTGTAATCATCGAACATGACTGGACTGAACTGGTACATGGCACTGGATACATTTACGATCCGAGCACCGCTGCCAGAGGCTTCAAGTTTCGGAACAAGGAGGTTGGTGAGCAGGAAATGACCAATGTGGTTTGCACCCAGATGACTTTCAACGTTTTCAGGAGTCAGAGAAAACTTGGCACCCATGATGCCTGCGTTATTAATGAGGACGTCAACCTTGGAGATAGACGAATTGATCTCTGCCGCCGCAGCTCGCACCGACGCACAAGACATGAGGTCGATTTTGAAAAATCGTACAATGGTAGAGGGGCTGATTTCTCTGATCTCCTTCATGACTAGGGAGGCTTTGTCTTCTGAGCGCCCGAGAAGAACAATCAGCAGGTTTGGCGGCAGCAAGGAGAAGGGCTATGTGCCCCCCCAGCCCTCCATAACTGGCTCCGGTGATCACGACTAATGATCTGTCAGCCAAATTGAATTGACCACAAGCTCGTTGCCGTTATAGGAGTCCATGTATTCGCAGGAACTTATACTCACATGTTTTCCCAAAGACTCGTTCGGATAAGGTAGCGACAACTTCAGACCCAGAGGTCGAGAAATCAAAAGAGGGCATTTTCAAGAGTGCTTGTATAGAAGAAAAGCTATCAAATATAGTGAATTGGTACCAATTGTCGGCGGCCCATACTCGCCCTCGCGAGTCATATATATATGTTCTGCTCCTTCAACGTCGCTTAATAATGATTATGGGCCATTCCAATGATAGCTGCTCAAAATAATCACTAGCGTCGTCGGATCACTAATCTATCCGACTCCCAAGTTAGTTAACGTCCTCGACTTCTTTATCAATGCCCCGCATAAAAGCCGAAGCGAATGATATTCGCAGGTCATGATGCGAATTTGATTGCTCACTCGTTTACCTCATCCTCGCATGTCAAATTGAGTCGCCACCAGCAAATTCACGGACGAGCAGAGTGCCGGTGGAATAGTGACGGGAGACCGGTGGGAGCCGAACTGCAGGTTTGTAATCCCCTTCAGAGTAAATTACTAAGGCAAAGCTCGAGCACTCATAGAATTACAGATTCTAGAGTGGTGATTGAAAAAGGATTGGTCAGACAACAACCCCCTCTGCCACCCATCAGCTTATGTGTAGTTCCCGATACCCTAGCAAACCCCAGGCCTCAAGCAAGAGATATTTCACCTCCTAGGCTGGTTTACAAGCAGAACGCTGTCGGAGCTCCACTACTTGTCGAGTCCTCGGGCCGTGTCGTGCCACGCGAATCAGATCATCCCTAGTCGATTCTCCTGCTCTCCTGATCTTCATCTAGATTCACAAAAAACTAATCACTTTCTGCAGCTACAAGCTATTTGAATAGTTTTGTGGGACCTAGACAGCCCCGTGACTTTCGACCGTCATACAACACCTTTGGTTCGTATAAATCAGTCACCCAACATCCGCTGCACAAGTGAGGAGGCTGGTCCAAGATGAGCAAGTATATGTACCTCGTAGAGGGCCTAAATGCCGTCCATAGCCCTAGTGGATGAACCCGCTGTTCAACGAAAACAGGCCCGGTGAGATCTGCCTATCCTCGGTGATAGCAAATCAGCACTGCAAGCAATTTAGAATCCAGGGAACAAGCTGGGACAACTGAACATCCATGCCGTTCTACAGGCAGCTAGGACCACCAAGACCCAGCATACCGGGAAAGACACCCGTTCTGCTTTTTGCTATCGCGGGAGAGAGCATGTATCAGACAAGGAACTCGCCCCCAATAGACAAATGATTGGGACGAGTCGAGGACCGGCGCCTATCTACGTCAGATCGACGACACACTGCCAGCCAAGTACACGCAACGGCTCTATAGATCTCTATCTAGAAACCGAGCTTATTTACTAACGCAGCTGCGAACTGGACACTGCTAGTTGTTAATATACGCTAAGGCTTTTCGATATGGAGATGACAACCTATGCGTCTGTGGCGAAGGTTTAGATTCAGAAATTATGTTTTATGTGTCGTACATATTATTTGAGTAATCAACCCTTCTTATTCAAAACAGCCCTTCATAATGCTACTGCGCAGATCGAGGTTTGTGCAGTCGTGTTTCTCTTATGCACAATAACAACATTATAAAAATGGGGTATCAGGATTTATGGAGGCAGTCTATGACTGTCAATATTCTCGACAGACCGAAGACTCATTTTGCGAAATGAAAATGATCCGAAAGCTGTGGCTCATTGAAGCGCCTGATAATGGTTGCCATATAGAATAATTATCAGAACCTGCATCACGAACATAACTTTCGTCATCACCCGCATTTCCGTGGCTAAATGTGGGAGACCGGCAGAAGAAAGGTGGGAGACCAGTGGGTCTGGAGGGCCCGGTTTGTAATCTTCCATTGTATAAATTACAAAGGCAAACCTCAAGGACTCGTATGTTTGCAGAAAGAACTCTTTCATACTCGAGAAACAAACAAACATAGTCATGGCTGCTGCTACGAATTCCAAACCTTACATACCAGTTGCTGGAGGCGCCGACGATGGTTGGTCGAAAGATGACCAGGCGACTGCCACATGTTACTGTGGCGCAGTGCAGTTAGCCTTCGTGAGTGCTTCCAAGCATACAACCAACAGTCTTTAATACGTCCGCTAATGTCACGAACAATCTTCAGCCAACACAAGGCCCGGGCCTAGTCGACACGTTCACCTGCCATTGCACGGACTGCCGAAAAATCACCGCATCCATGTTCGCGACCAATTTCGTTGTCGCGGACACACATCTAAAACACCTACGAGGCCAGGAAACCCTCACATCATTTACCCAGTCAAAAACCATTACCTCGGGCAAGGCAATGACAAATTGTTTCTGTTCTACATGTGGCTCGCTCATGTACCGCATCAGTGAAGTGTTCCCAGGACACAGTATTCTACGAACTGGAACAGTGGATGACTTTACCCTGCATGAAACGAAATTGAAGCCTAAGGTTGAGCTATATACCAAGGACCGTGTGGGATGGCTTTCTGGTGTAACCGATATGGAGCAGGTCGCAGGATCGGCTTATACTCCAAAGAATACTTGTTCTTCTGAACTCTGAATGAATTGGTTTCGGCTTCAGTGTTTAAACACTACAGTTCTGGTTACGATTCTATAAGCACAAGTGTCCTCACTCGTACCTTGACGTGCTTTGGAAGGTTTGTACCATACTTCATTAGCCAGCCAACGTGCGAATTGAACTTATCGTCGAGCTTTTCAATCTGAGCGCACGCCACGTTACAGTATGCCAATGAGAGACCTAGACGCCTAGACTTCCCTGACCTCCAAACAAGGCCCTATAACATGCTTCATTGACCAAGAGAAATACGTGAATCATGAAGATGCCGCGAGGTAGGATGATTTTAAAACCAGTGGAAGCTCGAAGCAATGGGCAGCTCTAAAGTCCTACTAAGATGGAGTAGACTACCTACCTACGTACTTGATTTCCTCTGCCACTTCTTGGTGTTCCCTTTCCGTTTTAGTGCTCAGACCTTGCCGCTTTTTGCTCACTGAGTAGATCTGATCGTCATCTGAGCGCTCCGATTCGCTCACTGAGTCTGAGCTGAGCCTAGGGGTGAGCGGCCTGAGTAAGCTGCATCAATAAAATGCAACACGCTAGTCCCCATCACGTGCAACCCTCTACTTTAGATGGCACCCATCGTCCCATCAAAAAAGGGCTGGCATTTCAATGTGATCTTCAATCCTAGTAAAAATGACTGCAATTAATTGCGCCATAATGGAGCTTGCTATTTAGCCACCCAATAAGCATTGCCATTCTATGCTCGATGCTCCTGGGAATACTTTGTCTTCTCAGTCCCACGATTTCCTAACCAGGTTTTGAAGGACTACCGGAGCCAGGGATATTGGACCAGTCTACTTGGAGAGCCCCAACATGTCCTGGCACATATGCTAACAGAGAGGATCGTTAAGATTGGAGATAGAGAACCGCTTCTCTGCCAATAAGCGCATGGATCCAGACTTCAGTAGGAAATCGTATTTTCTTTGTGAGGCTCCAGATATATTGCTCCTAGGAGCTGGCTGCACGCTCTGCAAGAGCCTACGAAAATGTTTCGGCGGGCGGAGGCCGACTTGATAATCGCAGCTATCGCCTGGGCTATTTCCTCATTCGCCATATCACTCATATTCCTAGGAACTCCGGCCGTTTACCACCCTCTATGTATCTAAGACATTCAATCATGTGAGGGCTTACGCGTAAGCCGGGAGAAACAGCCATTACTTGACCCTAGAAGATGTCGCGCGAGGAAGTAAAGGAAAGGAGTCTCACGTTCTAGAGAACCCTGTGGCTCACTTATAGCGCACATCCTCCACTCCTTATATATACCCGTGAGATATTTAAAGCCCTTTAGAACATACTTTGTTCCTAGGAGCCTTCCGTGCGCTAAGCTAGACCCTATTACGCAAAAGACCTAGGTAGACGTCCTAGGAACTCAACCTATATCTATAGTCCCTTAGGTTGCTGCCTATAGACGTGCTAGAGGATATTAATAATGCTACTATATAAAAATAAAGAATACCTATCTCTATCATTTACGATATTATATGGTCTTCGGTTATCAATACTATATCTGAGGGCAGAAATAGTAATAACTCCTCTTTATTATAGTGAGTTTGCTTTTATTAACTTACTAAGATATCTACTTAATAAGTTCGCTACCTATAGTTATCTAAACGTATGATGCCCGACCTGACAAGTACTAGTGCAACTATAGCCTAAGTTGCAAAAGCTGTATAGCGCGGCGTGCTTACTTTATTCGAGGATATTTAAGCTAGTAGGCGCACTAGCAAACTCCTAAATAAAGTTAGCCGTCAATTACTTTCCGTTAAAAAGCGATTAGAGAGTGTTACTTTAGAGGTAGAGGGTATATACTCTTATAATATCAAATTTAGTTACAAAGTCCACATTTATCTTTAGGCGGCAATTTCACACACCTAATATATATATAAAAGGTTTTTAAGTACTTTTAAATAGTGGACAGATTATTCGCCGTCGCTCTATATATATAAGTCGGATTCTGGTAGCTTTAACATCTTCGAAGAAACGGAATTGCGAATTTTTAGCGAACGACTATAGATGTTAGAAAATACCATACTTATAGCGGTGGAAAACGCGGTGTTATATATGAGAAATGAACCCTCCGATAATAGACCACTAAGCTAATTCTTTTACTAGTTTTGATCGGATCACTATCTTAAGAACTCTTTCCGACGTGGAGTGGGCCTCGATCTTTTATAGAGAGAATGAATTATTTTTAGTAGCGATCGATATGAATCGGAAACAATATATGCTATAGGAACGACGACTAGCACTTAAACGTATCGCTCGTGAATCCGAAGCATACGAAGTTGGAACGTAGTACTATCGAGATGTTATTAGCGAGCTCTCGTCTGAGATTAGTCGCTTGCGTAGTGGATAAGTAGTCTATACCGAGGGAGAAGGCCAGCTTCCTATTGATGCTATTAATATAATAGCCGGTGATCACCCGTTCCCGTAACGTGATAAAGCCCTTTATAGGGGCGAATCCCCGATACCTATCCTTTGGCGAATATAAGACACCCTTACCCTAGTCCCCAATTTCCTTCCGCCTTATATTTATATTGTCTAGACAGCTGGCCATATCTATGGTAAGACGAATTCTAGCGACATTTCGGAAGTTATGGATGTGAGATTTTTAGGTGATTAAGTTGTCTAATCGCATGTTATGTAGGCTAAAAATATTTCTAACTCGCCCCATCACTATCCCTTTTGTTAAGATAAGCAATACTCTCGTATTGCGAATATGACGGTCTTATACTCTAAGCCTTATCACGGAATAGTTATCCTATACCGATTTGAGCGTGGCTTGGAAGACGTTGGATTGAATAGATTAATGTTTGGCTGATGGTGATCGGTAATTCTTTTTTGGGTGCAATTACGTTACACGGCATATACGGTATTGTACCGAGGGCAGATGTTTGACCGCACAGCTATAGTATATTGAGATAAGCCACAATATCAGAAATTCAAGCCTAGTGAAGGTATGTTTGAAACACGTATGTTTTAGTCATAAACCATTTCTCCGCATGTTTGGTTGGCCCCCTTGGATCACTATGGATTCCATTTGGTCAAAACTTGTGTAATAGTAATGTGGAAGTTTCAGTCTTGCTCTAATTCATTCTGTAATGGCTAGAAGCCTGTGGATAAGATAAGCTGTTCAATCATATGGTTGTGAGTAAAATATGGTTGTATTGTCTTGGTCTGCCTAACAGATTTGATGAATTGAAGGGCCATCGTCGGATAGACGTTCAGAGAGATAGGAAATTTTTCGATCGCTTATGTAGGTTCATTGATATTGAACGCACCAAAAGAATATGACTGGGGCACGTGACTGATGAATAGGGATAGGGCACTAGGTTGGGA